GTTCTGGCCTGAAACTCCTTCATCTCTGGTTTAGCCGGAACTATGCTTTACCTCGGGTCTGGAACTCCGATTTGACTCTGATGTGACTCTGGCTGGGAACAGAACCGAATCATATATAAACCAGAAAAGCCAAACCAAAGTTCAATCGGAGATTCGGAGAATCAGAGATGAACAGTGTTCCAAGCCAGAGTTGAATCATGATATAAGACATGTTTTTTTTGAATTTCGTGTTTGAAGCTCGTTCGCCTCCAAAGCGCACGCTCAACGCTAATCCGCTGCCGCGCGCGCTGGCGTCGGCCGCAGGGGGCGCGCCTCCCGCGGGCGGGGCGGCCTCCGCGCGGCGCCGCGGCGCTACCGTCGCAGGCTGTTGCGGCGGCTGGGGCCGGCCGCTCCGCGGCGCGCGCTGGGCGCGCCGTGCTGCCCAACGGCCGCGCCCCCGGACGCCGCGCGCGGCGCGCCGCGGCCGCCGCCCCGCCGGGGGGGCCCTCGCCGCAGCGCGGCGCGGCGGAGGGCCGGCCTCTCCAGAGGCGCGCGCCGCTCCCAAGCCGCCGGCGGGCGGGTGCTCCGCGCTGGGCCTCCCGGGAGGCGCGAATCCTCGGCGCGCCGTGCGCAGCAGGCAGGGCTGCCGGCAGTTGGCCGCCGGCTTCGGCCGGCCGCAGCCCGCCCGCGCTTAACCCGGGAAGTGAGGAGGCCGCGGCTTGCGTTCGTCAAGGCGACCCCGCCCTGCGCTGAAAAGGGCGCGCGGGACAGCCGCGGGGCAGCCGAAGCAAAGCGGGCTCTTGGGCGGCATCGCCGCGGGACGCCGCGACATAGCCGCAGCAGCACGACTGAGGACGGCTGCGCAGCTGCAGCACTGCTGTAGCACAGCGACGGGGTAGCATGTCGGCGACACAGGGACGATCTTCCACGATGGGGATATCCATAGGAACTACATCCTTGACAGGAACAGACACGGTCACGGACCTGGCGGACACAGAAAAGGAAAGCAACGTGGAGGGCGAACGACAAGAGAGCGCCGAGACGGCACAATATGCACACGCAAGTCCGGGCATATATAACTCGGTGTGAAACGGCAGGTGCATGTGCAATTGAATGCATGCCCTGGTTGTTGAACAGGTGTAGGAAATTCCGGGGCACGTGATCTCTTAGAAACATCAGTAAGAACAGGCGTCGGTAGGTCGAAACGGCGAGACACACATGGCCAATAATTGGAGGGCAGTGTGGAAACGCATGCGCGCGCGAGAAAACGCGCGCAACTGAACACGCACACGCGAGAACGCGTGCGTGAATACAATGGCGCGCACATGAACTTTCACTGGAAGCGATCGGCGCGAATGGACTCAAGGAATCGTTTTGCCCCCCCATGCGTCGCCCTCTTCCTAAAACCATGGGTCTGAAGCTCTTCCCCCGCGATGGGCTAGAGCGCCTAAGATGGCCCAAAATGGCTCCGCGACGGCCCCAGAAAGCCCATGATGACCTCAAATATGACTCATGAGCACCCAACGTCGTTCAAGATACCTTCCAATTTGCCTCCGGGATGCCCCGCGGCCGCCCCAAGGCGGCTCCAAGTGGCCACGGCGCTCCCCCAGGAGGCCCCCGGGAAGCCCAACTCCTTCAATGACAATACTATGAACAAGTTGGTGTCGCCTTTTCGTTGTTCCGAGCAGTGTCCGCAGGCAGCAATGCAACTATAATGATGATACCGACTGTGTGGGGCCGGACGGAGTGCCGCGTGCCGCTGGTATTGGCGACCGAAAACACATGTTCAAGTGTAATATGACAGCGCCAGACTGCGCCGGGACAGCCGCGGGACAGCCACGGGACAGCCGCGGGACAGCCACGGGACAGCCGCGGGACAGCCGCGGGACAGCCGCGGGACAGCCGCGGGACAGCCGAAGCAAAGCGGGCCGTCGGGCAATAAAGCTGCGGCCCGGGCCAGTAAAGCCGCGGCCCGCCGCGGGACAGCCGCGGGACAGCCGCGGGACAGCCGCGGGACAGCCGCGGGACAGCCGCGGGACAGCCGAGGCGCAGGCGAGGCAAACATGAGGCCAAAATGCTATGGGAGCACTGGGAATGGCCTTCAATCGAGTTGTCTGGCATTGAAGATTATCCATGGTTCGGATGACGAGGAAGGGAGCGAAGGAGGTAGGAGGGGGGCGAAAGAGGGAAGAGGGAGGAGGGAGGAGCGAGGAGGGAGGGAGGAGGGAGGATGAGGGAGGAACGAGGAGGGAGGGACGAGAAGGGAGGAGGGAGGACCAAGGAGGGATGAAGGGTGGAGGAGCCATGGCAAAGAAACGAATGAGTGAACCCGACGTCGGGGTCACATAAGCCCCCGCCATCAAAGTGCATACGGCAGGTTCGTGTCGTGCCGACCCCGGCGTTGGTTTTTGACACCGCAGGGATCGTTCAACCTTGAACGATCGGCCGCTGCCGCAGCGTCCGATCGTTCCACATCGATCGATTCTGGGCCGCCGGCGGCGTTCAACCTTGAACGCCCGCGCTGGGGTCGCCGCCGGTCGACACGACGCAAACCTACCGTATTGGGGCTGGTCTTGTGGGGGGTGATTGCCGTGGGAGGGAGTCCAAGGGCGCGGGATGAGCGGGAAGGTTTTTTGCTGATGATTTCTATGTGCTTGTATTGCAATAAAACGGACTGTCATTTTCCCGCACAACCAAAATAGCAACAAACGAACGGGGGAAAGGCACGCGCCACCTGCATCTTACGGGCGATCCCGCTGGACGCCCGTGAGCGCGAAAACCGCGAAGAGACCCGGACCGACGAAAAGCGCGAGAGACCCCTAAACCTTGCAAGATCTTGCAGTGCCCACCCAATCGGCCAGGGCAGACGAAGGCGCCCGTGCGGGGCGCGCGCATCATCACAGCGACAACAAAAAACACGCCATGTCCTGAAGCTCGCAGAACGCATCATGGAGCGATGGCGCACGCACAGATCCGCAGTCGAATCGGGTTGAAGCTCGCACGGGCTGCGCTAGAGCAGACCGGCGCGCCCGACACTCAAACGCGCCGAAGCTCTAGCTACTCGCGCACGCAGAAAAGCTGCTCGCTCAATGAAAAAAGCCACGCTCGCAGGAAAGCTGCTCGCCCACAGGGCACGGCTACATTTCGGCTTTTCTTGGACGGAATTATGCGAAGGGGGGGGGTCAGTTTAAGCCGCGGCCTCCTCACCGGGAAGCCGTCGTCGCCGGCGCGCGCCCAGCGACGGTTCGGCGCTGGACCGACGGGGGCGCCCGCAAGCGTCGTCCAGCGTGCCGTGCGATCTCCGGGTCGTGGCCGCTCGCGCGGGGGGCGTGCTCGCCCAGGGGACCGAGGGCGACAACGAGGGCGGGAACGAGGGCGGGGGCGACGGCGGGAGCGACGGCGGGGGCGATGGCGAAAACGAGGGCGGGAGCGAAGGTTCGAGCGAGGGCGGGAACGACGGTGACAGCAAGGATGGGATCGAAGGCGATGGCGAGGAAAGGGGCTGACCCCGCGCGCCCCACGCGCCCGGCCTGACCTCCAGCCCGCCGCCCGGCGGGGCGCCGGCGCCCCGACCCGCGCTCAGGCCCCCCCGCCGCCCCTGTCGCGCCAAGGAGGCGCCGCCCCCGATCCGATCGACCGAGCAGGCCCAGCCGGCGCCCTGCAAGATCTCGTGGACATCCGCCGCCGCGCCCCCGCCGCCGCACGCGCGCGAGCTGGGGCAGACCTTGAGCCTGCCCCTTGGCTGCGGCCAAGCACGAGCGCCGGGGCAAGCGTTCGTGCTCAGACCAGACTGGCTACGGAGGCCACGCAGGTCACGCAGGTTCCACAGGTACCACAGATCGCACAAGTCCGCAGTCTCCACACGCGCCGCAGGCCAGGCTATGAAACGCGTCCGCTTATGGAAAAACTCAGCAATGTGAGAAGGGATGCGAGTGAGGGATCGGATGTCTGATGTGGCGCGAGCGCATCAAGCTTGCCCTTCTTACAAGTAAGCAGTGGGGATAACACTCTCCCTCCTCCCTGGAGTAATTCAGATAATACCTCAGCACCCGTTCCGCGTGTGTTTTCGACATACACCGGATTCCAACCGATGATTATTCTTATAGTTTTGTACTATCCAACTGTTGTGTTACAGCATGGTATTCCCGCTGCAGCGTGAGCCTCATTGTCGGATCGGCGCTTCGCACCCTTCGTTCAAAATGGCGCTCTCGCCCCAGCGCGGGCCACTTTTCTGGATTCGAAAATTGCTTCGCTGTGGTCCCCCCCTCATTCCCCCTCCTCCGCCTTCTCCTGGTCCTACTGTTCCTCCCGCCCCTTCCTCTCCAGTTCCTCTTGCTGCTGTTCGTCTTGCCCCAGCGCGGACAACTTTTCTGAATCCGAAGATGTATTCATCGTTGTCGCACCCCTCAGATCCCCTCCTCCGCCTTCCCCTGGTCCTCCTTTCCTCCCCGTCCGTCCGCTTGAGTTCCTGCTGCTGCTGCTGGTCCTTATCCTTTTCCTCCCGCTCATCCTCCTGCTCGTCCACCATCTCTTTCTCCCATACACGCAGGCTGCGTGACGCAGCTCTCCATTTTCGATTGCGCATAACACGGAGTGGTCGTTCTGTCGGATTCGCATGTCGGTTATGACACGCGTCCGCGGATAGAGACACATCAGCGCCATGGGAAGGGATGGGAGAGGGGGATCGGATGTCAACCGAGGCGCGAGCGCGCCCAACTTGCCTCTCTCCTCTCTCCTCTCTCCTCCCCCTCCTCCTCCTCCTCTTCCTCCTTCTCCGCCTCATCCTCCTCTCCTGCCTCCTCTGTCCTATCTCCCCTGCTCCTCAACTCATGGTAGCCTCCCATGCCATCTTGCTGGCTCTAGTGAGTCGACGCTAACCGACGCTCATCAAAGCTAATTCGACGCTAGTCGACGCCACATCGGCCCGTTCTCATCGATTGCCAGACGCTGGCGCACGCGAGCGCACACTGATTTCGGAATTGCGAAAGGCTCCCATGATTTGCTGCCGAAGACGGTGGTGCTGTCGCCGATGTGGAGGGTGATCCGCTCGCCGCGCTGGAGTCGAGGAAGAAGAGGCGGCACAGGCATAAGCTTTCAAAGGCGACATTCTTAGAACTGCGCTGGGCCTCGTTCTCGCCTCTGCGGTTCTCCTGTGGGAGGCGCTCACCGCCGCGCCTGGATTCGCCTCGAAAGTCTGCTCAGAACGCACCCCGGGAGAGGTCTATGGAGTGTCGGCAACGCTGCCTCCCCTCCCTGGCGCGTGGAGCGAGCCAGGGGCGGCGCTGGGGGCGCCGCCAAGGGGGCCCAGCGCCGATCCGAGAAGTCCGCGCGGAGTTTCGAACACTTATGATGTGTCATTGTTTCCTCCTCGAGCTGGAGCACGAAGGCCCCCTCCGCAGCCCCCGACCAGAAGTCGGCCACGACGACGCCGCCAGGCATCGAGAGCACCACGCAGTGCAGTGGGCGAACCTGGGGAGCCAAACGATGCCGATGCTGGCCGTGGCCGCGCGTACATTACATGGAGTTGCCATGCGTTGGCCGCGGCTGGCGCCCTATCGCTCTCGTTGGTTTGCACCTCCCAGGGGAGAACAAACAAGACTTGTAGCTTACTCCCCAGGACCTCTCCCGGAGTGCGTTCTGACCAAAATCTCAGGGCAAGTCCGGCCGTGGCGACGAGGGCCTCGCATCGGAGACCCAACAATGCCAAACACAATGGAAGGGCAGCGGCATCGGTACCGTTTTCCTCGCTTTGACACAGCGGCGAATCAAAATCGGTCCCCAGACCTCTCTTTGGGTCCGAACGCATCTGCTTTCCGAGCTGCGCACAGCCGTGGCGACGGGGGCGCCCTCCCAAGGCCAACTACCGCTGTCTCACCTAGCCCCCCATCGTCGCGCCTCTCGGGCGGGTGCGAATGAGGGGTGGCTCCAATCGGGGGGTGAAGAGAAGAGCCCCGAAGGCCCTTCGGAGCCTTTCTTGGGATCTGCTGGCTCCGAAAGTGGCCCCGAGGGGCACCTCTAGGGCTCCTCGCTTCACCCCCGATTTGGGTCCCCTCCCACTGGCACCCGCCCGAGCCTCGGCTTCCGGGTCGTAGCTCGGCTCTCCAGCGGCCGCTCGGGCCGATCCGGGCACCCCTGGAGCGCTCGAGGCGCAGCCGCTGGCAGCATCCCGAGGCTGGGACACCGCCGAGAACCTGCGGAGACGCCCGCAAATCCCGAACCGTTGTCTCAACTAGCCCTCCCCTGGCGAATCGTTATCTCAACATCGAAGCTAACTGGCCCTTCCCTGGCGAACCGTTCTCTCAACCTCGCCGCTAACTGGCCCTCCTCTGGCGAAGCATTGTCTCAGCCTCGCCACTCCAAGGGGGGCCCTGCCAAAAGTATTCAATGGCGCGCCCAGTCTGGATATCTTCAAACTCCTACTCCGACATCTTCTCACAATGCGTGTGATGTCCCATGTCGCTCCAGAAAGGCACTGCAGAATGCACTCCGTGACACGACCAATCCGGCTCACTTCAAACGTACAAGCTTTGCGCTCGGGCAGACTGGCGAACCGTGTCGTCTCCGACCGCCTGCACGTCGCACTCGGGCGCGGAGCCGACCGTGAACGCGTCGAAGATCAGGCTGCGGCCGGCCGTGCCCCGCACCTCCACGCGCACGGGCGGCGCGCCGATGGGAGCCTCGCCGTCCTCGGCATCCGCACACAGCAGGCGCTCGGCCTGGGGGAAGCAAGAGGTACCCATCCGGGGCGAGGACTGAGGGGACGGAGATCCACTGCGACCTCTCCCAGGGTGCCTTCTGACCAATACCTCGCGGCGAGTCCAGCGGTGGCGACGAGGGCCTCGGGGCCTCCCAGAAAGAGGCTCCAACGAGCGAAAACGGAGGGCCTCCCATCGGAGGCCCCAAGGAGGCCAAAGCGGAGGCCAGGGCAGCGGCTTCGGTACCTCCTCCTCCTCCTCCTCCTCCGACGGCCTGCGGCCATCGCGCGAGGGCGTCGCGCAGAGCCGCCGCGAGCCGCACCCGCAGCCGCACGCAGGCGGCCGCCGCCGCCTCGCTCTCGTCCTCGCTGTGCGCCAGCAGCTCGTTGAAGAGCCACCGCGAGGGCATGCCCTCCTGGAGCATCGTTCGGCGACGCGCCCAGGGGGGAAGTGAGAGGGGGCATGCATTCCCATCGGAAAGCGGCAGGGCTTCTCAGAAGCCCTCGCGCCTTCTGAGAAATCTTCTGTCTCCGGGAGGAGCTTTGGAAACCTCCCAGAAGGCATGAGGCCTTCCGAGTCTTCTGAGAAGGCGCGCACCCTCTGCATTCCTCCCTGGGCTCGCCGCCGAATCGTTGAACCGATGCCTGCGGCCTTGGCCCCGATGCCCGACTTACCCGCCCAGGTGAGGAATTGTGCCTGTTCCTCCGGGCTCCGCATGGCCTGTCCCCACCCAGGAGGGTGGACCGGTGGGGCTTAGATGCCATGGCCTGGTGGGGATATGGGAGAAAGGTTGCAAAGAATGCTGACTCCTGGAGGTGCCTGCCCAGCGCCAATGACTCCGCGATCTCCGCCGCAACGGCTTTCAGCATGCTGGCGCGGTAGCTGTCGTAGGCCTCCCTGGCTACGGCCATGGCCGAATAGAGGAGAAGGGCCGTCTGCCAAAATAGAGATCGTCAAACGCGGGGGCCCTCCTGACACGGCAGTCTGTTGAAGCCGGTCTGAACCTCACCGGCTTGAAGAGGACGGAGGGGAAGAGGATGGGGAATGAAGGAGTACGACGGAACAGGCACGAGGGACGATGCAGGGCTGGCTTTGCCTGGGAGCTTTTGGCCAGCAAAAAGGCGCACTGGCCCGGACAGCCTGAACGGCACCCCTCCCCCTGACCTTGGGTTTCCCGAGCGGACTCCACGCCTCTGCTCCCGTGACGGCCATGAAAGACTGAATTTTGAAAACGACCCAGTGGCAGGCACCCAACCTCACATGTGCTGGCAGGCACGAAAACGTCCTAATTCCTGTGTTCCGAGGCGCGGACCCTGCGACTTGTCCAACTGTTTTCTGCCTGAGACTTGGAGAGCAACTCTTTACAAAACCACGCCAGAGGTCCTTTCGAGATCTCGAAGGGACCCGCAATTGAGAGATCTACAAACACTTTCACTTAGCCAACGCGTGGCAAACAAAACCGAATAGGGAAGCGTCCTGTTCCGCTCACTGGCCCCCAACATCCGCAGTTAACATAACGGCGGACCGAGAAAACAACACACACCAAAGAAGCAGTGTGCCAATTACCCAGGCTCGCGGTGACAGAGATGATGGCAGTAGACGCCCGCATGGTCCTTGAAACGCAAAGTACCATCGCTGTTGTGATCCAGTGTGTTACCGAACCAATGCCCTCCCTCTACGGACCAGGGTACAAGCCCATTGCAAGGCCGACGCGAAGCGTCGCAATGTTGCTGCAGGAACAGATCGGGGAAACCACAATGTACTGATATTGCTACTTTCGGAACCTCTCCAGTAGTGCGTTCTGACCAGGGTTTCGAGGCGAATCCAGCCGTGGCGATGACGGCGCCCCAGGAGGCCCAACAAAAACGAATCTCAATGAGGGGTAGCGGTTTCGGTACCTATTCCTCGCTTGACAAAGGGTCTGGAAAACGACACGGTCCTCCGACAGAGGAGCGTGCACGTGTCGGGAAACAGTCTTCCATGTTGCGAGGCGCTCGCGGTAATTACCGAATGTTGAAAGCCGTGGCAGGGGCAAGGGCCAGAAACTTCAGTAGGAGGACGACGAGGCATGGACCCGGAGGGTCGAGTAGGAGGACAAAATGGCGGTCAGGGGCAGGGTCATGGACCAGGGAGGAGGGGCAGGGGAAGGTTAAGTAGGAGGACGACGGCCAGAGAAAACGCGGAGCTGGATAGCCTAATGTGTGGGAGCTACACTTGGATGTGCTCGTTGACGATCCTGTCGCCATTGGTTGTTTCCAATATATCCTCGCGTCCTATGCGCACGTCGGTGGTCTCGTGTTGTGCGAGGTCGGCCTTGTCTTGGATGTGGTGAGCGGAGCCACTGTCCAATATCCACGTCCGTGGCAGCGCTGCTGTTGACCGCGTCGGCATGGTAGACTCGGTCGTGGGTGGTGCCACCGACTCCGGGCTGTCGTCGGATGTCAGGGCTGGCGCCGTGGTAAGTCCGATTGGGGTGGTCAGGTCAACGCGCCACTTCTGCGCCTCGAGCCAGCAAGCTTGGAGCGCTTCGGCGCTGTCCTGCAGCCACCAGTACGGCAGCGAATCGGGCACAACAACGGGGTCGCCCTCGTTGGCTTCGGCGTGCAATTTGGCCAGTTGCAGTTTGGGCACAGGGTAGGTGATGACGTCGATGTTGCCGAGGTCGAAACGTACGAGGCGTCGTGGTTCTGTGGTGGTGCGTGTAGATACTGCAACACAGGTCTCTTCACGAATCACGCGTGTTCGGTCCCGTCGTTGGCCACGCCGTGGCGCTGCAGCTGCAGGTGTCCGGTCCCTGCGCCGCATCGACGGCGACCGTTCGCTGCTGCTGCTGCTGCTGTTGCCCGGTGAACGCCCTCGACTGTGTCCGCGGCTGTCGCCCCGCGAAGGAGTGCAGGATCGTTGCGAGCGCCACCTGCGGCACCCCGGACTCCGTGAGCCCTGACGCCCCCCGCGCAAGGAGTACGGATTGCCCCCCAAACGTCGCGGGGAGGACGTCCTGTGGCGGCTGTCCTGACTGCAGGCGCGGCCAGGGCTCCTCTCGGGGGTCTCGGTGTCAGACGCGATGTGGGCGAAGCGGCAGCTGTTGCGCAGTTTGCAATGTTTGCCTGGGGCAGCGAAGAAGCTGCATTTCGCAACGTGAGGCCATCTGCGCCAGTCTTGTCGCGGGCCGTGTTTCGCAAAGGGGAAACACAAGTTCTTGGCGCCTCCGTCTTTGGGCGGCCGTTGTGCGCCTCGTCCCGCGGAGGTCGTTCCTCGTTTCATCCATGGGTTTCTGCAGATTGGGGCTCGGAACAATAACTCGAGTATCTCCGTGTCCCGTGGATCGCGGCACTCCAGGAATAAATAGATTGTCCCAATCCACTAAACACCGTTGGAAACCGTCATCCAGCATGCAAACAACTTGGCGGCGTTCGAAGTCGTGCGTGGAGTCGTCGACGTCCGTTACCTTGTAGGATTGGAAGGTCGCCCGAAAGATCTATCTGCCTTTCAGCATGCGGCCCGCTTTGTGCTTCTGAGCTTTGAGATTCGTTGTGCGATAACGGAGGTCAGTAATTATACCAGCCGGAAGTCCAGCGGCGAACTTGCACTCGATGCTGACGAAGTCGCCACTGCCTTGAGGGTCCTCATATGTAGTACCAGGGCGTTCAGCAACGCAGAGAAAGGTGCATGCCTCGGCAGGCCGTCCAGGATGCGCTGCGGAAGTTCTCCCTGGCCATTTGCTGCCATTCTTGTGGGTGAGTAGTGCGTGGCAATAAGGGTATGCGAGCAGTATATGACTCATTGATATGGGTGGAGCCACCAAGAGAAGACTGCGATATATTATGTGACGGCATTGGTGGCGTCGGCGATGGTGCACGCGCAGGAGATACGTGGCGTGTCTGCGTTGAAGCTGCTGCAGAGGCAGTTCCTGGTGACGTGCGTCGCGGTTGTCCTGCGCGAGTGTTTCCATCGGCGAGAGTCGGGGAGGTGTCGGTGGTGGGTGCTGGGGGCTGCGGAGGGGAATGGATATCGGTGTCGCCAACGTTAGCCGTCATGGTAGCTTCGGTGGTCGTGAAATCGTTCGGCAACTGCTCCGCACTCTGTCGTAGACCATGTACCTCGTCGTTGGTGTCGTAAGTTCCCTGGGAGTACCTGTCAAGGCGATTCGCTAAGTCCTGGAATCGTCGGGTGTGCTTCGCGCTCTAGTTCCAAACGGGTGGGGACTTCCTCCGCCCGTGCCTTTTCAGCGTCTCTCTCTCTCTCTCTCTTTCTCTCTCTCTCTCTCTCTCTCTTTTGGGATATCTGGGTGGGGCGTAACTGCATGAGGTCCGCCGCCTTCCTGACCTCGGACATATTGGCAGCGAGGGGAGCGAAATCGTAAACCGAAGTCGGGGTGCCCGGCTGGCCAGATTGGGTCTGTGCAACACGCAAGTCAGCCAGTGCACCCTGTGCGTCAGGTAACTAGTGCTCGAACGTGGAGATTCGGTTCTTAAAACACTGGCGCGCGTCCCTTTGATGCATCAAGACGTCGAGCAATAGCCATCTCGACAATACACAGTCTGCCGTGCAACTCGGACGTGGTTGTGGTACTTTCGGGGTCCTCGTTCTGGCTGGAGCTCTCCCTCGCTCGATCCTCCTTGTCGGCGAGGTTAGTCCCAGCTCGAACTCTGTCCGTTCTGCCGAACCCTCCATGGCTCCTCTACCCCGCTGCTGCTGCTGTGGGGGAGGGAAGCCGCCTTTACTGCTCGAGCCCAAGAGCCGGCGCTGCATACACGCATGTTAGTCACTGGCAAAATCCCAGAATCCCAGGGCAGATCCTCCAGGAAATCTCAAAAATCACAGGGGTGGAGGTTGGCGGTGGTCACATCAACATGATCACGAAGCGCAATGAGGTCATCACGGAGCTGTTGATCCGCGGCCCCATGTACCTCAGTGGCAAGATTCTGCCGTAATGTCAGGATCTCGTCGTGTAGAATCCTGACAGCGGCAATGTCCGTATTCCTGACGTTCACGAACGGCGCCGCCGTGGCAAAGAGGTACCGCGGAAGGTCTGGATTGCAGTGGGGTCGGCACTTTGACTGGTGTGACCCCACGCGGTCAACAACATGTTGGACTTCATCGATGATCGATCGGTCCTCAGCGATCCGACCGACGACCATGGCAAGACCATGCTGCATCTCTTGTCTCAAGTTTGCTGTCTGTGCCGCGTGGTCGGCGCGACGGTGGCAGCAAGACCCGACAACTGCTGGGTCGTAAAAGTTTTAACCTGGTCTCTAAGTTCGGCCAGTTCGTTGGCGGAGGGCGATGCGTGTGGCAGTATGTCGCGCCGCAGGGAATTCTGCCGCGAGCGCCTGTGAACGGCGGCGGCTGGCGTCGATACGATGCGACTGGAGATGGCACCGATCGGGGACTCTTGGCTGTGAGGTC